ATTACAACATGCCTCCTCATAGGCTTCCATCTACAGTATGCTAAACCCTGCAGGGTTCGTTAAACAAAACACATCCAGGCAGTGGAAATATAATTTGTTTACTCCCATGGGTGTTCAAGGAAATATCTTGGCTGAGTACCAGAGTTCATGCTCAATAATCCAAGTACAAATCCAACAATGTTCAGTCTGGCTGAAGAAGGCCTTTGGATGAAGGACGAAACGTATCAGCAAAAAAGAAAGGGCCCAGATGACCTGACTGAACATTGTGGGATTTGTACCTGGATTACTGAGCATGAACTTTGGTGTTTTGAACTATTTTATGGCTGCCTTAGAGGAGTAGACGGGGGAGAGAGCAGGCCTCAGAAACCATCTTATCATCAGCAAACCATTTTTTTTCCACTATGGGAGTTGGTGCTTGTGGGACTCCAGATTGTTTGTGTCTCCTCGAACTGATGTAGTCCTTTGGATGAAGGCCAAAACATCTCAATAAAAAAAGAAACCATGCTGATGACCTGACTGAACATTGTTGGATCTTGGCTGAGCGGCTTGGCAACCTCAAGGAATGACATGCTGGACCTCAGCCTGATGCACTTTGTATCATCAAGAAAAACTTCCAGAGTTTACTTTGTTTTTAAAGTACGGTAGCTTGACTGAAACAAGCCTGTGATGTTTGTGTTAGCCGTAAAGTAGAGGTAGGACTGCCCGTCCTGCTGGATCCAAGCACGGCTTTTGATGTGTCTGTTAGCTTTTCTGCTTTTAAAATGGTGGACACTTACCCTTATCGCACACAAGCATGTTGTTGGTATTGATCCTCCACCTGCACAGCTAGATTATCGAGATATCTGTGACAGATCACCTCTGTGCTTTCACACTGATGCAAAGCAAAGGCACACCAAACTCAGCTTGTAAATGTTGCATGACTTGCCCTTGAAAGGTCTAGCTCACTTTATTCTGCATTTTACTTCAGTTCTGTTTTTAGCTTATTGCAATTTAACTTGAGACAGTGAGCCAAATAGGTTGATTGATCACAATTCTTGTCTTCTTTTTTTATTTAGAAAGATAATACAAAACTAATGCAGTTTAGCTTACTACCTAATAAAATAAAGGCCTAGCATTCTTTGAAGAAATGTATATCACCCGCTGCTCGCTTGGTTTTAAACTAAGATCATCTGGTGTTGAGGAAATTATCGTTATAGCTGTTTTAGTCAAACCTTGAAAGCAATGTACTGTGCAATCTTGTCACATCATTGTAAGATCTTGCGCTATCTTAGTACTTATACTATGTATTGTGAATAACTCTCATCTGACAAAATCCATGCTCAATAATCCAGGTATACAATCCAAAAATTTTCAGTCAGATCATCTGGACAGTTTCCTTTTTTTGTGTGCTGAAATGTTTCACCTTCCATCCAGAAGGCTTCATCAGTCATGGAAACACACAACACAAAACTGATTCTGCCCCCAACAGCTTACTCCAAAGTGGAACAAACCAGTTATGTTGGTGCTAAGCTGGTCTCTTTGGCATGGCACGCCCCCTCTTCCAGTGCTGGCCCTCTCCCTCGTCGACAGTCATGTCAAACTGGTTCAAAACCAACAAAGTCCATGCTCAACTGCTCGACTATCATCAAGCTTCTGCATTAAATTTTAGTTCATTACAGAATCTGTAAAACTGACTAGACACAGTGAACTGTGGCAGGCATGTTGTATTGGGTGACTACAAGTTAATAAGTCGTGTTTTAAATTGTTTTATTTTTTTGATCTGACCTTTATTTTACCATGTGAAATGTTTGAGAACCTGTTCCCATTTACAAAAATGACCTGGAAAAGAAATTTCCACAATAAATGGGTACATACCATACCAATGGAAATAAATTGGTATGGTATGATACAAATTTATTTCTAAAGCACTTAAAATACAACAAGCAGCCGTCCGAAGTGCTGTACAAAATTAAAAACAAACAAAAAACAGTAAAACAATAAAAACACCCAAATACATATAAAAAAATAATGAGAACATCATAAGTAAAATAATACAACATTAAGACACAGATGCTAACTCACTCTAGGTTAAAAGCCAATGGAAAAAAAAAAGTTTTTAAACGAGTTTTAAAAACAGAAAGTGATGGGGCCTGTCTGACCTCCAGCGGCAGCTCATTCCACAATTTAGGAGCCAGAGCTGAAAAGGCTCTGTCTCCTCTGGATTTATAAAAGGTTTTTGGGACTGCTAAAAGTATCTGGTCAGAGGATCTAAGAGCACATGATATGTAAAAGTGAAGCAATTCAGATAAATAAGAGGGACTAAGACCGTTCAAAGACTTAAAAACAAACAATAGAACTTTAAAATGAATTTGAAACTGGGCAGGAAGCCAGTGAAGGGACATCAGAACCGGAGTGATGTGCTCACGCCTGCCTGTACCAGTCAAAAATTGTGCAGCAGCATTTTTTACCAGCTGTAACCATGAGAACGAGGCCTGGCTAACTCCTATCAACAGAGAGTTACAATAATCCAGGCGTGAAGTAATAAAAGCGTGGATTACTGTCTCTAAGTGGTGTCTAGAAAGGAGGGGCTTTATTTTTGACAGGCGCCTCAGCTGAAAGAAAGAGGATTTAACCACGTTGTTGACATGGCAGTCAAGTTTCAGGCAGGGGTTCATTTTCACTAATTTTGTCACAATGGATTTTTCATATGGGGCCAAAGAGGAAAAATCCAAGGTGGAAAAACTGCTAGGGCCACAGGATTTAAAGACCCTAACCTCAGTCTATTTTTCATTAAAATGGAGGAAATTAAGTGCCATCCATCCTCTAATGTCATCAAGACAGTCCAGGAGAGACTGAGTGGAGCCATTGTGTTTCAAAGGGAAGTAGACTTGACAGTCATCTGCATATAAATGAAATTGCACACCATGCTTTCTGAAAATAGAACCCAGTGGCAGAAGACAAAGAGAAAACAGGAGAGGACCAAGAATAGAGCCCTGGGGTACCCCCCAGGGGAGGGCAGCAGAAGCAGAGGTAAAATTATCCATCATTACATTGTACAGAATGATGCATAAAAATAAAACATAAATGTCAAAATAAAAATGAAAAATTGTGCACTGAAGAAGTGTGTATGAAACTGTAAACAGTGTTTTTTGTAAAAGGGTAAATAAATGTGCCATAGTGCATCTTAGGATAATCAGCAAGAGCAGCAGTCAACTGTAATCTGTTGGAGTTTATGCTTTAAATTTGTGAGAGATGTCAAATTTGTAAGTTTGAGAGTGTTTTGTAAGGTGTTCCAGTTGTCTGCTCCAGTAAAGCATAAGGCTTTATGTACAAAAATAGAGGTTTTTAGAATGATGAACTTGAAGTTCCTTGATCTAGTGCAGTAATTATGATGGATGGGGTGTGAAGAAGAGATGCCAGGTAAAGTGGTGTTTTATTCAGTATTGTCTTGTAGACAAAGTGATGCCAATGATGGAGCCGCTGTGTTTGAAGAGAAGGCCATCCCACCAGTTAATAGAACTCACAATGTTGAGTATGGAATGGTGCGCTGGTAGCAAAACAAATAGCAGAGTGATAAATGGTGTCTAGTTTGTTAAGTGCAGTGCTTGATGCCATTTTGTAGATGATGTCATCGTAATCCTGAACTGGAAGTATCGTCATTTTGACAAGAGTGAGCATAGCAGCATGAGTAAATGAGGCTTTATTGCGAAAGAGGAAAGCTTTAAGGAAGGCTTTAATTTTTATCTGAAGTTATTGAAATGAGTAGTAAAAGACAGAGATGAGTCCAGCAAAATCTCGAGATAATTATATGATTTAACAAAAATCCAAAGCTGAACCATCACCACAGCTGATCTTTGGCAGACTTGAGACAGTATTTTTCTGATCAAAGATGATGCATTTGGTCTTATTGGCATTTAAACAGAGATGAAAGTTATAAAAGAATTGCTCTACAGAGGTGAGGCTACGTTAGAGAGTAGATGCTACAATATGGAGATTCATGGCTACATGAATATAAGAGTATCAATGGCATATAGATGTCTCTGGGAATTGCCAGCGTCTTTGACTACATCATTAATGTAGATGGAGAATAAGGTTGGGCCCAAGATGGAACCCTGAGACACACCTTTGGAAATGAATAGTGAGTTCAGAAAGGTATTTTCTTTTTTAAGCTTTTGGACACGGTTATGGAGATAGCGAGTAAGCCGATCACAGCAGGTGATGGACAAACCAATGCTAGAGAGACGTGCTAGATGCACGTTCAGTGATGAGTTTTTAACACTTTTGTTAAAAGTTATTTTGCCAACATAACCTACATACACACCACCCACAAAGGCAAACTAATATTGCCCACTTTCTTAACTTTGGGCAATAATACCAAATAAATAAATAAGTAAATAAATATTATTTAAAGACCATGCATTTGGGTGAAGGGTCTGATTGACTGATTATACTATACAGTATTTCTATAAATAAAATTAAAAATAAGAGTAAAACTGTGTCCTTCATTAAAGAGACTTATTGATGAAGACTCAGTTGCTCCATTTGCACCATCAGGCCTTGTATTCTGACAAGACTTTACTTACCAGCATGACCAAACATCTTTACGCTCTCATACCCACCTCTGAGCTTATCCACCTGCAGATAAATAAATGCTCCCTACTGGTGAAAAAATGCAAAACATTATAGGAGCCAATCACAAATGTAAACCAGCTGTGCTGTGAAATAAGAGCTGTTCTTCTTTATCTTTTAAGTCACTGTTTTTTCAGGACTGAGAGCTTCAGACTGACATCAAAAACACTCATCACTGCAATTACTTTGTCATGCTTGTGGAGGTTTCCAGAACCCAAGATGGAGACGGACTCAAAGATACGATGAAGAAGAACAAACCTAATTTAATAATCAAAAGAACACGCTGACGTGGCAGCAAAAACGCTAACAGAGTTGTTCACAGGAGGACACACATATAGGAGCAAACATGAGTGGTTTAGGGAAATGCAAAGCACTGACAGGGAACTAACACAATGACACAGAGTTTAAATAAACTAATGAAGGAGAACGACAAACACTTGGAGGAGAGAGACGACAAGAATCGGGTGGGAGTGGTAGTGGCAGGTGCAGAACTACATAAGGGGAAAACTCAAAAGACTGAAAATGCAAAACACTAAAGAGCACCAACCAGCATAATGAAAATAACACAAAACACAGAGACCCCACATACAATATTTTTCAACTATAAAAAAATCATATAGCACTACAAATCTACCGTATTTTTTGCCGTATAAGTTGCACCTTGTTACATAAATTTGCAAGTCCTGTGACTTATACACTGAAGCGACTAATACTGTATACGTTTCCCCCAAACAAACAAACAAATAATTGTTTTTAAGTGTTAATCTTGTTAAATTCTTGTTAAAGTCCTCCCATGCACACTCCTGCAGCCGCCATTTGGCAGCCAATCGATTTTTGGTACAACACCGGCCCATGTTTCCAGGTGGTCAGCGGTGAAGCAAAATAGATGCGACTTATACAGTGAAATGTCGTATTTATTGTTTTTTTCCCACTTTATTAGACATATTTGGACTGATGCGACTTAAATGGTGGTGCGACGTGTACGGCAGCAAGTACGGTATCTATTTTCTGTAGAAGAAGCCAAAAAGCTCTAACATTTGCAAGTTTTAAGCAAAAGGAAAAGAAATGTGGGAAAAGTTCTCATTTTTCTCAGTCGTTCATACAACCCCCCCTCCCAGGTTATGGTTAACGGTTGAGATGTTGCCAGCAGCTCTCAGACGTTCAGAGCTTTGATACTCCTGTGTAATTTTAGACCACCGTTCGATGGAAGAGACATGTTACCCACAGCTCTGATTGTATTGATCACGGTCTGAATCTGTCACGGTGTGTCAGTTATTACCAGACACGCTTCAGTAGTTTCTGTTTCGGATCCTTGCAGATCTATCTAAGAATCACCTGACAGAAATCCCCCCTGAAGTGTGTCTGTTCGCCCCCCTGGAGTCTCTCAACCTCTACCACAACTGCATCAAGTGCATCCCAGAAGCCATCATCAATCTGCAGATGCTCACCTACCTTGACATCAGGTGAGGTTTCTTTTTTTTTTTTTTTTTTAATGTTCAGTCCAAGTAAACGTTCTTGCGTTTTCAACTTTGTGTCTCTGTGGAAGTTCTTGTTCCACTTTTTGCTGCACAAACAAGCTTTCATGAAAGTGAGGCGTTTCCTCTTTTGCTGAAACTCAATTCCCAATGACTTCTGTGTGCTGTTTTGAAATGTAGGTCACTGTTTTATCTTTCCCCTACAGCCGAAATCTTTTGACGGTTTTGCCAAAATACCTGTTCAGCCTCCCCCTCAAAGTCCTGCTTGTGAGCAACAACAAGCTCGCCTCCATTCCCGATGAGATTGGAAAGGCCAAAGAGTTGATGGAGCTGGTGAGCAGCGTGGCCTTCTGTGTGCTGCATGTTCACAGCAGGAGTAATCTCATCTTCTACTCTTTCCTCCACTGCCAGGATGTGAGCTGCAACGAGATCCAGGTCCTGCCGGCTCAGGTGGGGAGGCTTCAAGCCTTACGGGAACTGAACATCAGAAAGAACTGTCTTCACATGTTGCCTGAGGGTCAGTCCAGTTGTTGTAATATATTCTCTCTTGTTTTTTTATTTTTTTCATTTTAGAATGTACTTTAACAGTTTCCCCATCAGGAGTTTCAGCTG